GGGCCCCAGGAGGGCCCAAGAGGGCCCCAACAGAGCTTCGGGAAGGCCGACGATGGCCACAAGACACGCCAGGAGAGCCCCATCACGTGACGAGAGGGTTTCCACTAGGCTGCAGACGGCCGAAGGAGGGCTCAAGGCAACCCCAGGGGATCCAAGACAGCCCGGGGACACCCCCAGTCGGCCCCGAGATACGCCGAGACTCGACATGTGTGGGCAAGTTTCCCGACGGGGAGCCGCCGTGGCCACTGCTTTGCGGCATCAAATTCGATGGAACACGTGTGCACTTGCCAATCATACCCTCCCCCCACCCAGAGGTTCATGGAAACAGGGGGGCTGTCAAATCGAGTGGCAACGCTCGGTGACAACAGCGCGACCCAAAACGAGCCGACCGAATCCAAGGTTCCCTTATTTGCCCTGGGAACGTCTGGAGCTGAAGGTACCAGTGGCGGTTGGGACGTGGAGATACACTGCCCCAGATTGCACTATGATAACAGATGTGGCTCTGTATGTCTCCAGGTCTGTCGCACCTACAGCCCCCCTGAGTCGAAAGAGCAGTGATTCGAAACCCAGCGCAGTGTGCCCCAAAGCCCTCAACATCAACATGCGACGGGGCGAGAGGTGACAGCTCATAATTTCTTTAGGGTTATCCAGAAGCATAAACCTCCAAATGAAAGGCAAGCCTCCAAGAAGAATCGGAGGCGTTCATGACTCTACAACCCCATTGCGCACCATGCCTTCTTAGAAGTGTCCACCTGCAGAACTCCCTGCTGAACTTCTGCGAAGGAAACATGTATGGCTTGTGTTTGTTTTTTTAACGCCTCCGCTCTGCCACCCACACATCTGAGCACAGGCCACCCTGGATGACTACAGAGAAGTGTCTGCATCGACGTCAGGAGCATGCAGGGCTGCCCACTCCTTCGGCGGAGCTCGCAGCGAGATGCGCACTGCCTCGCCTGTTCGGAACGGGTGAGGAAACTCCAGCTCCTGAAGCTGCAGGCCCATAGCGCCCACCCCAATCGATGGCACCGTCTCCAAAGGAATCCCATGGGACGAACGCGTCGGCACACTCTCTCCGCCGCGTGTCGGGCAGTGGCGTGGGTCGAACAGCACGGGGCAGCCCGCGCGTGCGAAATCCTCGCGCAACTGATTCGCCCCAGCAGTACCAGCTCCCGCGCTGGGACGCGCCAAGAACACGGCAGTCGATAGGCCGGGCCAGGCCGCGCTGGGGCGGGGGCCGCTCTCCAGAACAAACTGCGTGGCTGCGGCAGCGCTCCCCTCGGCGTGCGCACCGCTCCCGCCCGCAGGAACCTCGGCGCTGTCCCCGGACACGAGCGCACCCTGCTGCAGAACACCCCCGCCAGCATCGAGCAGAGCGCGGGAAGTGTGCCGCGCGGCCGCCGGGGGGATCCCTGCGAGGACCCGGAAGACGCCCACGACGCGCCTCTGCCGGACAACGTCGCTGAAGCACCTGAGCATGGGGCCGTCCGTGGTCACGAGCAGGAGCCCCTCCGCCGCGCGGTGCAGCCCCAGGGGGAAGCCCAGCTCTCGCCCCTCGCCGAGGAATGGCCGCAGAGTGGTCTCGACAGACGGCCGCGGAAACGCCGCCGCCACGTCGCGCGAGACAGCGAAGCCGTACGGCTTGAGCACTGCACACCACCTCAGGTCAGGCATCAAAAAGGATGGCCACCAGAAGCCAAAGGACATTCGCCCTCCTCCCCCTCCCTTCTGGCTCCACCCCTTACCCCCCGAACTACTCATCCCTCTCTTGCTGACCACCGGTCTCGAAGCGACCCCCAGACAATCGGAACGTCAAGCCGGCTGAAAGAGCCCATGGCGACAATCAGATCGTTCACTCAACCAGCCTGTCAAAATACCGGCGCTCATGCCAGCGCGCACCTGCAGGAATGGCGAATGTACAATCGATTGGGGAGTCGATGAGCTTGGGTCGAATGGCAACGGGCGCGGAAGAGAAGCGAGAAAGCCTAGGCGGATAAGGGCGGAGAGGCCACAACACTGTTCTTGAGGCTATCTGGCTCATACCCACGAGGCCCGAAGAGGCGCAGGGGCCCTCCAATTTATGTGGGCGGCGGTGACTCGACTCGCCAGCGGCGTCTTCGACTGCCTTTGGCTACGGTGTGAGGTTGACAGCAGCACGCAGAGCACTAGCGTCCAGCAACGTCGTGAAACGCGGCTCCTTCGTGAAACACCCCCTTCCTACAACATTCAAAAACAAGCCCGTCCCACCCCCGAGGCGTATTCGTCGAAGCTACTCACGACACCCTAATCCACAAGTCCTGAAGAGGCCGGGGACAGACTGCCAGGATTCACGAAGACAAGCTGACGAGGACCAAGAGTCCCGAGCTGTGGGGCGGCACGTGCGGCAGCTGATGCGGGAGCTCGATGTCTTTTTCCCGCGCGCGCCTCACAGTGAGGACAGCTGAGCGGGGCGGACTCCTCCTCTCGCCGCCCTGCGCGCCTATCAGGGGGTTGTAGCGGCGAGGGCTCGATTGGGCGGCGCGTCTGGACCCCCCTGGGGGGCGCGCGAGCCGTCACTCGGGCGAGTACTCAGGAGGGGCCCCGGGCTTGCGCATTCGCCGCGGTTGCTGCTTGCCCTGGACGACGCGACGGATATGGTCGCGCTCGCTCTGCAGGCGGTCAGCCCGCTCCTGCTCCTCACGCCTGCGCTTGTCCTCCATGGCGGCTCGCAGGCTTGCCGCGAACTCGCTCTGCTCCTGCTGCCTCTGGCGCCGCTTCTCCTCCCAGTGTATCGACAGCAACTTCTCCGACCTGGCGATCTTGCTGGTGTACTCGGCGCGCTCGGCCTCCCGCAAAGCCTGCCGCTGCTGTCTGCGCTCCTCCACCTGAGCCTTGAGCTCGTGAAAAATCTCCTTCTGGCCCTGGACGTCGTAGGCCTCAGTGCCCCACACGTGGGTGCCGGTGGACAGCGTCACAGCGGACTTCTTCTCCAGCTCTGCCAGCTCCGCCGTCCGCAGCCTGCTCAGCTCCGCCTTCAGCGCGATCTGTTCGTCCAGCTGCTTGTGGTAACACTGCTGCTTCTGGGAGTTCTTCTCCCAGTCGGGCTCGTCCTTGTTCGCTCGCTCGGGCCCCCAAGGGGGTGTCACCAGGCTGGCGTCCCCCACAGGGTCCCCCACGGACCTAGCTGTGGTGCTCCTTGCGGAGAGCACCGCCAGGCCTGGCCCTGAGCCTGGGCCTGGGCCACCCAGCGCCGCCGCGCCCCGTGCGGACAGCATGCTCTGGGCACGGCAGCGCGGAGCCGAGGCACTGCCAGCCTCGATGAGAAGCGCGACACGCGAGCCAGACCGACACAAGCCCTGATCGTAATCTCGATCCAGCCAGCCCGTATCACCCAAAGGACCAGGGCGCTCTGTGAGTCAGAAACCCGACCAATCGGCCTGATCCCGACCAATCGATTGGTCGGCGATCAAGCACCCGTGATCAAACCCTTCATCGGCAGATCGATCATTCATGCGCGGTGCGCTACCCTTCGTCGTCCGTCACCCCACCATCCATCGTCCGCCCGTGCGTTATCCAAGATGCCCCAAGTCTTCTGAGCCGCCCGCAGCGCCGCCGCTCCTGCCCCCAACGGCGGCTCCGCTGTTCGGCGCCGCCGCGGCTGCCGGGCCACGTGCCATGATGGCCGCCCTAGGGGCAGCAGCCCTGCGCCCAGGAGGGGCGGCCATCAAAGAGGGCGCCGCTGTCGTGAGCTCCCCGAGCAGCTTGAGGAGGAGGGGAGGGGTTGGAGGAAGAAAGGAGGATGACGACGACGAGGTGGACAAACGGGCAACCGAGCAAGGTTGCCGACCCCAGGGCCCCGCTGCTTTCGGCTCGGAAGGGCACGAGAACATATCACAAGCCTCGCGCCATTGGCCAAAAGAGACCTTAACAAAGTGCGAACATCACCGCATCCTTCGTGAGGCGAGCAGTCTGCCAAACTCCCGCATCTTGCTGGCACATCATTTCGAGGGCTTCAGCTATGGGTAAAACTGCCTGCGGGTACTCACTTGTCCGACAGCAGGCCGCTGACATGCTCAATCCAACCAGCTCTATGGCGTAGGTGGTTTGACGAACTCTTGCCTTCTCTCTTCCCACAACCCTCCTCCCCCTGCTCGGGGGAAGGGGTTACCCCTCCCACTACCGCCTACCCTCTCCCCAGGGCCTTCGAGGGGGGGCGGAAGGGTAAGAGCCTATGGCCCAAGATGGCTCCAAGAGGGCATCCGAGAGCTCAAGATCGCTTCCACGATGGCTCAGGATAGCCGAAGATGGCTCAAGGTAGGCTTCGACATGCCTCGAAGACGCGGCACGACGGCCCCAAGACGGTTTCCAGTGCCCTTCGAGACTTCCTAGGCACCCTCCAAAAGGCCAAAATCCATCAAAAGCCCTGGGAAACTAATGTTGTTTGCCTTCTCGCCTTTCCGCGTCCGATGGGCCTCGGAGGCCTCCGAGTAGCCCCAAGATGGCCCAAGAGTGGGGCCCAAAAAGGCCCCACTCGGGCCCCAAGAGCGCTTCAAGAGCGGCCCAAGTGGGCCCCAAGACGCCAGTGTTGAGTCTCCGAGCGGGGGGCCTGAATTGAGGACCTCGCTCTTTTTTGCGCCGTGGGGCCCAAGAGGCCCCCAAGACTCTTCCAATAAGCCCCAAGAGGGCCCCAAGACCCCCAACATGAGCCCCAAGAGGGTCCCCAGAGTGCGCCAAGCCCAAGAGGCCCAACGGGGGCCTTAAGAGAGCCCCAGAGATGGCCTCAGTCGTCCTTCAAGAACCCCTGACATCTCCAAACCCCGACTTCTCATCCTCCTTGTCATCGCCCTTTCATTCATCCTTCTTTCCTGCCTCCTCCCTCTTCCTCCTCCCCCTCCTCCTCCTCCTCCTCCTCCTCCTCCTCCTCCTCCTCCTCCAAGTCCTCCTTCTCCTCCTGCTCCTCCTCATCCTCCTCCTCGTCATCATCAGCATCATCCTCATCCTCATCCTTATCATCATCATCATCATCATCATCATCATCATCATCATCATCATCATCATCACCACCACCACCACCACCACCACCGTCATCATCATCATCATCATCATCATCATCATCATCATCATCATCATCATCATCATCATCATCATCATCATCATCATCATCATCATCATCATCATCATCATCATCATCATCATCATCATCATCATCATCATCATCATCATCATCATCATCATCATCATCATCATCATCATCATCATCATCATCATCATCATCATCATCAATAGTATCAGCAGCATCATCGTCATCACCCGTATCATCGTCATGTCCCGTATCAGCATCATGATCATCATCAGCACCGGCATCAACATCAGCATCATCATCACCATCATCAACATCATCAGCATCGTCATCATCATCATCAGCAGCATCATCACCAGCATCATCATCATCATCATGATCATCATCATCATCATCATCATCATCATCATCATCATAATCATCCACGTAATCATCGTCAGCAGCATCATCATGATCAGCATCATCATCAGCATCAGCATGATATTCATCATCATCATCAGCATCATCGGCATGACAATCAGCATCAGCATCAGCATCATCATCAAGATTGTCATAATCATCACAATCACGATCAACGTCAGCAGCATCATCATCCTCATCATCATCATCATCAGCATCATCATCATCACCATCACCATCATCATCATCATCATCATCATCATCATCATCATCATCATCATCATCTCCTGCTCCATCCCAAGCTACCCCAAACATTTCTGCGTGGCGGGCGTCCCGGGCGATCCCACCGAAGGCGCAGCAGCTGGCGAACGAGACACACGGAGGAGAGAGAGGAGGAGGAGGACCCAACGCACCCACACAACACCGAGGAGGAGAGAGAGAAGAGGGAGAGGAGGGCGGGCCAGAAAAAGACTTGAGCCGACGCGGTCGCGGAGAAGATGCGTGACCACGACGGCCTTCGGTTCCACTGAAGATGAGATGTGCAAACACGGCCATATCCTGCTACACCCCAGGCCACCCCAAACATTTCTGCGTGGCGGGCGTCCCGGGCGATTCCACCGAAGGCGCAGCAGCAGGCGAACGGACACACGGAGGAGAGAGAGGAGGAGGAGGACCCAACGCACCCACACAACACCGAGGAGGAGACCCGAGCCCGAGAGGAGAAGTGGCGACGGCAGGACGGCGCCGTTAATACAGAAACTGAAATAGGCAGAAGCAAGACATTAGCAAGAGTACTGATCAGAGACAAGACAGGCAAGGGAAACCAAACGCTTGAAGCCTTGAAAACCAGTTTGCCTTGCAATTAAATCAGAGAACAAATCGTAACCGGGTAAAGGTTCGGCGAGGCGGGTCCACAGGATCCCAGAGACGGGGTCAAGGTCAAAAAGGACAATGTGGGGCTTGCCAGAAAAACAACAAAAAAAAAACGCTCTACAACTGCATCGCGGCCTCAGGAGAGCTTCTGGGTGATATCGCGCCCAGCAAGCGATTCGAGTGAACTTTCTCCGGCGGGCACCGAACGGCATCGTGGGCCCCCAGCAAGGCCTTCAAGGCGGGCGTGCACCAAACCCAGGAGCTACCTGGATGCTCGAGGTAGACGGGGACTCCCAGGGAGCGGGCCAGCGCGATCAGGCCCAGGGCGAACCGAAGCTGCTTGTTCCCCAGGTCGACGGCCGCCTGCGGCCTGGCTGCAAGGTTCGGCAGCCCCCAAACGTGTTCCCTTGAGCGGATGGTGCACCAAGACGACCCAGGCGGCCCGTGTCTGGCCTGGTTCCAAGACGAGCACGGCAGCGCAATCCAAAGAGCGGCAGCGACTCCACCACGAACCCACCCACGAACGACCTGACGGACAGCAGGATGGTCAAGATCGAACCACGGTTTCGAAGCGAAGTCCATCGGCAGCGCGGCGACTCCGCGGCGCCGAAGCGCAGCGAACTGGCGACCCGTGCCGGCGAACAGCTCCAGCACAGCAGTCCGATGGGGGCCTTTGCGACGCTTGAAGCTTGCATGAAGCTATTTGAGGAGGTGACGATGGATCGACTCCGTCGAGGGGGCCCTTTCGGTCGGCCCTGCAAGCTCTACTGCCCGCGCCAGGTCAGGCAGAGCTCGGGCAGCGGCGCGCCCTGCAGGAAAATCCGCGGCAGGGCGGAGTCCATCACCTGGCAGGCGGAGGTCACCTGGGAACCAACGCGACGCAGCTCGGTCAGGATGCGAGCCTGCTTGGCGTAGCGCTTGAAATTCTTGTCGGGGGCCCAGCCGCCGCGCTGCTGGACGTCGAGAGCCGCCCGCCTCTTCGCCAGGAGGTCGTCCGAGGCGCCCCCGCGACGTAGCCCGCAGGCTGGGACTGGGAAGTCGCTCAGCCTCAGCGCGCGGGCGGCCTCCTTCATGCACGTGCCGAACGAGGCTGGCGGGAATGACCAGATCCGCGATGTCCCCGACGGCGCTCGGCGCTTCAAGCCGAGGAGTGCTGGGACCAAGAAGACGAAGGTGTCGATCACCACAGTGAAGTCCCAGAGGGCTGTCATCTCGGGCCGCCCCAACTCGCCGGGACATAGCAGCAGCGCGGCGAGCCCCTCGCCCGCGGCGCCCGCCGCGACGGGGGGGGCGACCTGCATCGCAGTCAACAACTGGTCGCACTCTGATGGCCTGAGATAGCACGCAAAGCTCAGCATCATGGCGATGGCCTGCTCGATCCGGCCGCGGTGCAGCATCGCGCCCGCCAACGCCACCACGAGCAGCCGCGGCAGCGGCCTGCGCATCTTGCGGGGGAGGCGCTTCCCCCATCCCGCCAGGCCGCGCGAGGCCCGGCATAGCGCCTGGTCGCCCCAGCGGCCGATCTGCGGCAAGAAAAACTTTAGCGCTGCCAGCAGACGCGGGGCGCCGTCCCCGCTGTGGCCGTGAAAATACAGGTAGTCGAAGTAGGTCACCACTATCACGTCCAGCTGGTCCAAGCTGCTCCAGTCTAGGCGGAGCTGGGCACGCCAGTCGGCGAAGGCGCCCGCCCTCCGCCGGTAGTCCTCGAGCGTGGCTTTGCCGACAGACCTCTGCTCGAGGTTGGTGATCCCCATGAGGGGCTCCCCTTTTCAGGGCCTCGCGCTAGCGCGCAGCTGCCGCTTGCGGGGCGGCGGCTGTCAGGATCCCAGCACCAACGGCCAAGGGCGCGGGCTGGAGAAAAGGGGCGCGCCCTGTCGGCATCGGGGGCCGCGCCGAGCGCCCCCGCTTTCCCGCGGCAGCCTCGAGGATCATGGAGGCGGTCACCAAGAGCAGCAGCCACCACGGCGTCTCGCTGGGGGCCCACCCGGCAAAGACGTGGAGCCTGCAGGCCAGGGAGTACGCGCAGATCTCCCAGAGGACGCTGCGCTGCTGCGGCGAGGCCCCTCGGCCTTTCCCGATGACAAGGGCGAGTGACATGTTGTCGACCAGGCGCACGATCCTCTTCCCGAAGGCGCCCGCTGCCCTGAGCCGGCGGCGCAGCGCGGGCGCGACGGCGAGCCCCTCCGCCCGGTAGATGTCGAAGGAGTCCCTCCACGGGAACGAGTGCGCGATGGCCCGGCCGTCCTCGGTGAGGAGGTTCGGGTCGCCGATGGGACTTGCCCCAGTTATTGGCCTCGTCCGTCGGCAGGCCGCCAGGGTCACGAAGCACATCGCCAGGAGAGCCAGGCCCCAGGGCGTGGTCGCGCGCGCGAGCCGACTCCTCGAAGAGATATCGCCACTTCTCGGCCGCGCGGC